AAATTATGAGACTCAATACTAGGGATTCGCGAGTTCCGGGGGACAACACGATATGTTCCCTGACTTTTCCCCATATTTTCAAGTTTTTCCTGGACTGGCCGCCCAAAAATTCAAATTCAAAATTTCAAAAGATTCAAACAATTTGTTATATTTTATTGACGAATGAAGGTATTCACGCACTTTGGGCGAAATAAATCCTTGATCTTTCCTGACCAAAATGATGAAACTCGGCTTTTCCAATCGATGCTCTAGCAAAACGCATACAGAACGGAGAAAATCAAAAAGTGTTACGCGGTAGAAAATTATGAATTCCACAACCCTCCCTTTCATTTTAAGGTTACATTTTTTAAAAATCCCCGTTCCAAAAGGCCGTAAAACACAAAAGACTGCTTATTTGAAGATCGTCGAAGCTAATAATCGAGTATCCTCTTGCGATCGAAAGCGGAAAGTCTTCATGCAACAGAGAAAAACAGGATGACCACGACTCACACTTACATCGAACATGAAATTCCTCATCCCTCTTTTCCAAACTTAAAAATCCGAGTCGAAGTAATTTCTTTACAACTGCAAGCGAGAATGTCGCATTTTCTTCCAAAACCACCCTTAATTACCGAGATCAGTATGACAAAACACGGAAAAGTCACTAACTTTAAAAAGACATCAACGAACCGCGAAATTAAGCCCCACTCGGATTTACGGACAAAAAAGGACTACCCTCCAAGTCGACAGCGAGAAGACTAACGCAGTATCTCCCGAAAATTCAAGGGAGAAAAAAGAACCAACAAAGGTTACAACTCCAAAAAAGTGACAATTGATGAGGTCGCGGCCGAGCTGAACAAAATATCTGCACTTTTTCTGTTGAGATTCGATTTAAAATGCGACGTTTTATCACGCAGACAGGCAACATCGGTTGATTATAACCCCTAGCCAAGACGAAGATCCTTACGTCGCTGATTGACCAAATCGAAGATCATTTTCACGTGATTTGAATTTCTCCCCTGGGACGAAAGGTAAATATTGCCAAATTTGGCAACAGCGGGTTATTGACACTCGGACTCGGCGAAAACGCGGAGAAGGAGATTTCGCTCAATTTATTGGTTTAATTCGTTCATGCCTCCAAAGCTCCGCCGTGCTAAGGCAAAACGTCATATGAGCTTTCGGCCGCTGTCAAATTTATTCCGATAAAATGCGAATTTTCTGGAAAAGTTTTGAGTAATTTGTTGAAAAATATTTTTAAAAAATATTTCACTTGCAATTCGATTTACTGCATTCGAAAGTTTCGATGAGAAATATTACGTACTTTTCTTGAAATTAAAGTTGTAGAGAGAGAACTTTGACAACCTTCGATTCCTGGCGCGGCGTTTTTCCCGTGATAAAGGGAGATCATTAAACAGGGCTGTTTACAGGGCCCTCGACCAGTGATAATAGTGTAGACTCTGGGCCGACATAACTGACACTTGGAGCTGGCATATGGATCGTCTAGTTGAGAAGGGCGTAACAGCCAAATTTTTCGAAACTTGGTTTAGGGCGGATTGCGATTTTCTGAGATGTCGCATCGGACGTAGGACTTTAAAACTTAAAATTTTGATAAAAAATAAATAGAATAAAATAAGATATCAAAAATAAAAATCTTAATAGCCCAAATTTAATAAAATTAATGGTATATCATTTTACTCATCTACTAAATAGTAGTATAGCAAATTACCGAAGCAAGCAATTTACCGAAATCGCAGGCAAATGTATTTTTTTCACTCGAATCTCTACTTCAGAGAGCGAAAGACGTAGAGTAGAAAGTTCTGCAATCCTTCCAGTGCCAAGTGCTTTCAAAGGAATGATCCAAATAACAAAGGGACGTGAATTTCACGGATTCAATTTCGTAGGGGTGGAGGGGGGAATAGAGAGAATTTCAAGGAAAAATATTCATATCTTGCCTCAAAAATAAAAATTTTATTGAATGAAATTAGGCAACTCTCGTATGCATGTACGGCGTTTTTCCTTCTGTTAGCACGGCAGATAGGATCTTTCTCGTGAGAAAAGCCCGAATTAACATCGTTTGCAATCGAGTGAGAAAGTCACGAGTTGAATCCGCCGATTTCATTCTGGCATTTATCGAAACGCGAGGCGCGCATTAAACTGAAGTTTGCCGTTTTGCTTGTGCGAAGTTTGAACTTCGGTTTCCCGGCGGAGAGCGACGAACGCTCGATGGGCAGATCCTCCTAATTTATTCATTTCCTCATCAGTTTTCCTGCTTTGATAAACTCTCCGCTTCAGTTGGCGAAGAAATGCCACCGAGAAAAACCAACTCCTGAAGTTTCGTCGAATCAGAGCGCGCGCGGTTTAAGTCCCCTTTAATAGGACTGTTGCAAAATTCAGGGATTACCTTAAGCATGGTTGTTTCTAAGGTGCATCATACTGCCGTGATAAGGAAGAACGCCATAAGAACACTCGAGAGTTGTCAAACATTCCCGAATAAAACATATATTTTTGAAGAAAGTTAAGCGTGGTTTTCCTTAAAATTTTCCGATCTTTTAGATTAAATTGGAAACAAACCTGTCTGAAAAACTGGAATAAAAATGTTCAGGATTTTCCCAGTAAATTAGTTGGTTACTGAAGGAAATGTGGCAACGCCTTAATGCTCATACGGCTTTTGACCTAAGCACAGCAGCATAGCGAGAAACGTGTTTCCGAGCTTTGCAAAGTTCAAAAAGTGCTTCTTGGACTGAGAAAAGAGGCTTACGGTCTAAGTGTAGTGGCGTGGCGTGCTTTGCGATCTATCGATTGATCAGCCATTTAAACCTATGTAAAAGTATCGATAGACAGGGTGGTCGAAGCGAACACCTTAATAATCGATTATTTATCACAGCTTCAAATAGGGAAATATCGATAGATCGCAAAGCACACCACGCCACCGGTTGGTTAGAGATTGAATACTCCTCATTGGCTTAAAGCTTTTAACATCCAGTGGCGAGGCAAAAGGATAGATAGACAGGGCGTTCGCAACGAACACCTTAATAATCGATTCTTCACCGCAGCTTCAAATGGAGAAACATCGATAATCGATCACTCGCGTCTCGCCACTACAATGCAACAAGACGTCTAAAATCACAGAAAAACGATTTCACTTCCGTTGTGTAAATCATTTCCTACGTAAGATTTCGTAGAGAAAACAAGAATTTTTTTCCTAGTTTAGACCCTGTCTAGTAGCCTACTGGAACCAATGTCAAATTCTGGTTTCAAAAACACATTTTTCTTTGAGATTTGACAACTTGGTACCAAGATACGGGAATAACAGCTGAAAAAATTGCGGAGTGAGCAATCCGTAAACTGAAATTAAAAATAGCCGGAACGCGCGCGGCTTTAAACATTCCGGGACGCGAAAAAAAGATTAAACAAATCGGGCGACAGCATAAAATAGCGTGGAAAATTTTTCCACCCCCAACCCTTCTCCTCACACCCCCACCACCCCCAACTCGATGATTTTTCTCAAGTGCAAATTGACGAGCGACTGGCGGCGTGTCGACCCCTCCCCCTCCCTCATCCCTTCCCTTCAGCTCCGCGAAAAGAGGCGGCAAATTCGGAGGATGATCTCAGCCAAGTTCAAAGTCGCAAAAGCTCTGTGGGCCCGGCGCCAGCATATGTCCGAGGCGACCTTTGTCAATGCCAGAATTCTCAACTGCCACGCTCAGGAAGAAACGACATATGAGCATTCAAACATTGTCACATTCTTCTCGAAAAAATGATAAAAATATGCGTAATTTAAAGAGAAATTATAGATGATTTTATTTGAAATCTGCAAGAACTGTTGAATATTTGGGGAGTATAATTTTCCTTTCGAGGGGAAAATAGGTATCCTTAATTGTTTCGGCTGCAGAAACGTAATCAACATTCTGATTTTAAATTTTGAGAGCACATTCTTTTAAAGCCACGGAGAGGGTACACAAAGTTTCAAGTTTTTGGTATACGCTATGAACAAGATACAAACTGAGCGGAAATTTGGCAACGTGGACTCCAGTTATGCTAATTCTTCTTAAATCCGCCCAGTTCTTATTTTAGCGCAAGAAATTTGGCAACGTCTGAAAGTTCAGACAGCGCTTTACCGTAGCTTGGCAGTATAAGAGAGTTTCTACATGCAGTAAAATTCTTCGAATTAAATTTTAGGAGCGAAAAACATGACATTTCTCAGAGTTCAAAAGTAACTTAGTGAAAAAATAATGAACGAGATTTTAGAAACAATATTATAATGCCAACATTATTGAACATTTAAAGAAGCGACATAAATGAGGACAATCTTCGATTAAAAATAATAAGCTGAGGCTTTGCTAGTCAGATTATGTTTTGGATCTTCTACTACGCAGGATAAAAAAGGAAAATCTCCTTCAAAATCCATGGATACAATTTTGCATACAATGGAGTACGAATAGTTGATAGGCCGCGCCGTGAACGTGCCGATACATTCGAACCGAGTTTAGCATGAACGCATGAAGTCACAAAGAGTTTTGACACAAAGTTTAAACTTTTTATGACTATTTTACGTCCAAAATATTTTGATTTTGAATTTTGACAAGGGTAAATTTTGGACTGGTTGTATTGGGAACTACTCCCAACTATTTTTTCTCAAAAATGCGATATGGTGATTTTCTGTGACAGTCGGCGTCGGCCCATTTCATTGTTGACGCTGGATTCAGCAGTGTCTAAACTGCGATGTTGCGAGAAAAATGCGGCTCTTGATTTTTCCAAAGAAAATAAAATTTTGTTTCGCATGAAATTCTAAGAATTCACGAATTAAAATCGGCAGCTTTACCTGCGATAAAATAAAATATGGTTGAAAGTTTAAGGCAAATCGAGATAGGGGATATTCTACTTGTATTGTCCACTTGCGTTCTTCACTTGGATGATGTTGAATTTCGATGTATTTAAAAATGTAAAAATAAAAGTAAGATGAGAAAAGATGAAATAAATAAAGAGACGAATGAAAAAAAAAACTGAATGATTTTACTTACAGGTGGTTGTCTGGATGTTTTTGGATTTTTGGGGGGACAAATTTGCAATTTGCTTACCTGCAAAAGAAAGATAAAAGAGGCCACAATTAGTTCATTCGAATTTTATTGAAAGAGCGAAATCTTATAAAGAAAAAACAGTGCTATCAAAAATGAACCGAAAAATCTTGATGGTATTAATCGAAACGAAACATTCATGAAAATTACTCCTAAAAAGATAATGCAAAATGAGCTCCGAATAGTTCGTGTTCATAGAGTAATAGCCATTCTCAAGTCGCAACCTCTGACAAGGTTGTTAGACATTTTAAAAAATGAAATTCCCGGACATTTCCCTGATTTCTCTATCATATTTTGGTAAAATTTCCTGACAATGACGGATTTGCCAGATGGTTAAAAATACATAATTTGAAATAGCTCTCAGGCGAAATGTGTAGTTCGGAACGTCAAACCTATTCTAGGAAGCAAATGAAGATGACTTAACAATTTTTCCCGAACACTTCCGTCATTTTTCCCGCCATTTTCAGATTTTCCCTAACTGGGACAACACTGCTCTGCGTGACATCAAGAGAGAGACAAGAATACATTAGTTCACCAAGACACTTTCTTCAATCCCAGATGTCTCAGAGTCACCCTCCGGCTCTGTCGATTTAACAAAAAATATCAACCTAGTCCTTTTGGTTAATCTAACTGAAAAACAAGTACATCTCAAAGTAACCATAAACACGGAAATTTTCAACTAAGTAATATAACGGCGATTTGAGTCTTGCACTTGTCCCGTCGACAACGTTGTTTAAAATTCAAGTGACGAAGGGGCAATTACGGGGACAACCCTCGGGAGGGCCCAGGCAGGGTTCCGGAGGTGACCCAGAGACCCACATCGGCTCTATTTGTGGGCCCAATTGGTCTCAATGTCCGCCGCTCGGATTTTCAAATTGGCCGTGGCCGTGAGGAGCCACTTCATCATCGAGCCGCGGCGTTGCAATATTCGACCCCGAAAAATCGGAATTACCAGGGAGAGCGGTGGGATTCCTGGACGAAGCGGCAACGTGGGGGATCGGGATGGAGGAAGTGGACGTTTTCGAGGTGGGCTAATTCCCGGGCGAGCCTAGACACAACACGACACACGTGTCACTCGACTCATTCGGTCAATGGGTCTGACCCTTCCCCACGGGAATCAAAGTGGCGTGAGGATAGAGGGGATCGCCTGCGCGGAGGGATCTAAGCGGGAACTTTCCCAGGGATCTTCCCGGGAGTTCCCGACGAGAGTCTCCGTTCCCGGGAATTCCCGACGAGAGTCTACGTTCCCGGGAAACTTTGCGAGAGAAACACTGTTACGATCAACTTGGGCTCGATCATGAATGTTAGAAGTTAGAGGTAGTTGCGCGGAGGGATCTAAGTGAGCACTTGCCAAGGGATCAAAGCGGGAAATTTCCCAGGGATCTTCCCGGGAATTCTCGAAGAAAGTCTACGTTCCTGGGAAACTTGGAGAAGGAGACACTGTTACGATTAACTACTTGGGCTCGACCATGAGAGTTAGAAGTTAAAGGCAGTTGCGAGGAGAGATCTAATTGGGAACTTTCCCAGGAATCTTCCCGGGAATTCCCGACGAAAGTCTACGTTCCCGGGAAACTTTGTGAGAGAAACACTGTTACGATCAACTTGGGCTCGATCATGAAAGTTAGAAGTTAAAGGTAGTTGCGCGGAGGGATCTAAGTGGAAACTTTCCCAGGGATCTTCCCGGGAATTCCCGACAAGAGTCTACGTTTCCGGGAAACTTTGAGAGAGAAACATTGTTACGATCAACTGGACCGCGTTAAGCAGGAAGGAACCAAGCTACATCAGCTATTGCCAAATTTAACTGGGCAATTTAATTTCTTACATGAAAACGGTTGCGCGGATTTTTCTTCAAATTTCAGTGAATTTTCCGCACAGCATGAAGCGAATTCCTCAAAATTTTCAAAGAAGTCCGCACAAACATTCTCTTTCAAAAAATTAAATTGCCCGTTTAGAGGCAGTAGCTGATGTAGCTTAGTTCCTTTCTGATAAACGCGGGCCAACTTGTGATAGATCATGTAAATTACAAGTTGAAGGTAGTTTTTTAGGACATTTCTCGAGAATTTCCCGAAATCTTGCTGGCTTACGTTGGATCGCAAGTTGCAAAACCTAGCCTCATTTTTTTTTTTTTTTTCGTGCTGATTTACTGGCCTATATATGTTCGGATTCGGAACCTACCTACAGCCATCTTGAGATTATTTTAGTGTATGTAGACACCATCACCATCGTGGAATTGGTGCATCCTTGCATCCAATTTAGCTCATGGTACGGCCAAAAATTCAGAAATTATCGATTGAACAGTCTACTATCGAATTCAGCACTGCAGCGCGTATGTATTTTGCAGGAGTTTTCAAACGAATCGAGATCGAATGATTAGTGAAAATTGGGATTCGCCTTCCAAACCAGTGGATAGGCAAAATCACCTCGTAGAGTAACGACAAATTGTGGGTCCTCTTTTAGAAGGAGTTATCGTCGAGGCATAATCAGCAGAGGCTGGAGCGAGACAACAATTTCACGCAACTCCTCCGCGACTCCTTCACTGAAAACTTGTATGCCCCTTTCTAGACAACGTATGTCAAAATTCTCCGACTTGCTTTTTTCTTGGCTTCACTTAAAAATTTCTAACCACGCTTGCAACCTGAAATACTCGACTCAGAGAAAAAGTACAAAATCCACGATCGAATCTGGGATGCAATGCGTCGTTTCCCAGAAAAATCGTCATTTCCCGAGCGAAGAAACGTAACTCCACTCCGAGGCTTTAAATTGACACAGTCAACTCTATGTTTTACAAGGGTGTATCTGCGCAATTTTTTGTGGAAAATTTTCGAGATTTCTGCATGAGATCAGAAAAAAACTCAGTAACATTTTCAGTTAGAAATCCCAAAGATTCTCCTGGTAAAAATGAAATTTGAGCGGAAAAATTGGCAACATAAAAATGCAGTTAAGATCCTTCGTCTGCGAAATGACGATGTTCTGCTGCGATGTTCCAAATGAATAAAAAAATCTTAAGACAGGATGTCTACAAAAATTTTTTGGGGGATTCCCTTGATAGTTTGAGTGCAATTTCCTGATTGTTTTCATGAACAAATTGACATACGGTTGATTTTACATATAGAAACCAAGACACAAGCAAATGTTTCACTTTCGCCAAAGCGAAAATATACGGTTGACTCACTCGGATTTCCTCCTCCATGACCGATTTCCCTGAGTTTTCCTGAAGACATGAAATATCCTGATATTTTCCGCTACTATACCGGTTTTAATTACCGATGGATATCCTGGCAAACTTTCCCCGATAATAATTTTTTTGAACGTCTATCTTTCCCCCTTTTTTTTAAAGAAAAAAAAAACTCCCTGACGCTTCTCGTTATTTTTAGAAATCCAAGAAAAATTGCTATTTTACCGGATCGTTTTTTCATTTCACTGAATACTCTCGCTTTTCCTCGACTCACGAGACCACACGAACACGTAATTCGCAAAATGTACGCACGCACGTAAATGCGTTACGGACGGTTCCTTCAATGGTTCGTTAGCGAGATTCCTGGATGTTGGTCGGGTGCGCGGTTAGGTTGCGGAAATGACGCGACCGACGATCGGAAAAACGAGAGGTGCGTCAGACGTCAGGTGCTGTCGCCCGATGATCACTTTTCCTACATTTGAATCTACGTAAAATGTCCAATTTTCCGCACAATCTGGCGACATGGCACTCCATTAAGGCGGGATCCAAGCTCTGCAAATATATTTGCTATCGACTCGGGATGCGCATGCAACTGTCGCAGGTGAATTTAACTGCGAGTGCTTGTTTGAAGTTAATTTAAAAGTGTGCAGTTCGTTATTGCGGCGGAGTCTCTTTAAATTCGTAATTCAGGGGTCATTGCTCCCATTCATATTCACTGGGAAAAAAGTTTCTTGAATCCCGAGTCCAGACTCTGAAAAACTTTGACACGAAATAATACTCTTGATTCAATCGGATTTTTGCTCGGATCCAAAGGAAATCCGCTTGAATTATGGTGATTCGATGGACGCTATATTTTGTGTCAGAACGACATACGATACATCGCATCGATTAGTTCCATTTTTTCAGCTACTTGTCATTTCTCTCGAATTTTGAGATCGCAATTCTGTTGTCAGGAGACTAAAGAATTCTTTCACCGATTTTCGCAAACAAATTAAACCTAATAAAGGCGTGGATTTTCTAGAGGAAAAATATAGCATTCGATACTGATATCGAAACTGCACTCGAATGCGAGATTTTCTCTCTCAAAAAACCACGCCTATAATACGTTGAATTTGTTTGTAAATATTGATATGTGAATTTTCTAGTCTCCTGACAACAGAAATACGATCTGAAAATTCGAGAAAAAAGACGAGTAGCTGAAAAAATGGAACTAATCTATCTACATCGCAAGTCGTTTTGACACAAAATATGACGTCCATCGAATCACCTTACGAGGTTTGGCTCTCGGTTCAAGCAAAAATCCGATTGAATAATGATTAATTGGACGGAGTTAAACAGAAAGGAACCAAGCCACATCGGGATCGAACCGAGAAAAAGAGGTTTAAAGTTTGGCTCCTGCATAAGACTCAATGTAAAAGATAAACTTCAAGTTCAATTTCTGCAAAATTTGCTCCAACAAAAACTTTGAATTTTTGGCGATAGAAAGTAGAGCAGTGGTTGAGTTCAAAATCACTCATAACTCAATTTTTTCCAAAATGTGGGTTTCCTTTCTGCTCAACTCAGTCCAATTATTTCTGTGAAATTTGTTAAGAGCGTGGACTGGATCCAAAATACTTAATTTTCTAGCGTTTTCAAACGTGTTTTTCTCCGAAGAGGGGTCTACGAAGGTCGCCGTATCATGAAGAAGAGGAGGGCAGAACGTCAGTAAATGCCGAATAATGCCCTAAAATGGACCAACATTGCCCAAGAGAGGGTGAAATGAAGGGAGTGGTAGCCGATTGACCGCGACCTAAACGAAACGCCCCTCGGATTTAGTATCAAACAAAAA